CGTCCGATCTGTAATAAAAAAATAAATATGGTACTGATATTGATTAGCAATCAACTTCAATATATTATAGATGAGCGATTATCTTCCGGGATATTATAAGATTTTTCTTTAACAAAATTATTTTAAAATTTTTTAATTTCTTATTTAATTAAACTTCTATTTATCAAAAATATTTTTAAGCTAAATTTTAATATTTTTAAAATAAATTATCAATAAATAAAAATAATCTTATATTATAGTATAAATTATTTATCATACATCTAAATATATAAATTATATGCTTATAATATCTATTTATACAATTTTTAATATAATTTATATATTAAAACATATAAATTATATTTTAAAACATATAAATTATATTTTAAAATAAAATATGTATATAAATAAATATTATGTTGGAATATCTAAATTATATTTTAGATATATAATAAATAATTTATATTATAACATGAGATCATTTTTACTTATTAATAATTTATTTTAAAATATTAAACTTTAATTCATAAATAATTATGATAAATAAAAATTGAATTTAATATGAATTTGAAAGAATCTTAAAAAAATCCTAAAAGAAAAGCCCTTAAAAACTCTTTCATATGAGATAGTTATTCTTATATATATAGGAATTGATAGAGGAAAAACTATATTTAAAAAATAATATCTACAAACATGCTATTCTTAAACATTTAAAAAAATAGAATTTGGAATAAATAAGAATAGCAATTATAGAATATTTCCTTCTTTTTTTTTACTGAAGAATATTTCTTTTTTTAATATATCCTTAAAGAAATAGTTTCAAAATATGTAGAATATGAAGAATTTCAAGTGAAATTTGAAGAACTAGTGCACTAGATTTATATTTTTGTTGGATTGTTTTGTTTTTTTTTTTTTATAACTATTTTGAATTGTTTTGCTCTGTATTTTCTCTGTTTTCCAGCCAGCAAACTTTTAAAAATTTGAATCCAAAACAATTAGTGCACTAGAAGTAAGATGATTCACTTAAAATTTTCAAGTTACACAAGGTTGGTTCAAGAGTATTATGGAAAGTGATTTGAAAACTTAAGTACACAAAGGAAACCTAACACTAAGAGTTCACCAATGATCTAATGATGAACATGAACTCAAATATGCAAATGGAAAAGAAAACAAGCAAGGCACAATTAAAGCAAAACAAGTCTTGGCCAAAACTATAAAAAGACTCAAAAGTATTTAGCATATGAATACAAGCATATCTTAAATATTTTTGACATTTTAAAGAACTAACATGACATGACAAACTAAGATTCAAAAATCAAAATCAAAACACATGCATACACAAAGAGATAGCCGAATCAAAACAAGCAAATAAGAATGACTCAAACAAACAAAAATTCAAGCACAAGTTGAATCCTAAATTCAATGATTGCGGATTGAAACTCAAAGTGTAATCACCATTGGATCTATGGAGAAATTGATTTCAAAGAAATTATAGATCCAAAATAGAAACTCAATTTGTGACAATAAGAACACAAGACACACAAACAATCGGTCAAGTTCAAGTAAAACTTATCTCCAAAGAGGAACCAAGCTCTAGATACCAAAATTAATGGAGAAGCTAGGAGAAGTGATGGATGAACTCCTCCTTGACTTCACCTTTGCTTAGGACCTCTTCTTTGGAGATTGAAGACCGAATGAAGAAGACTTGGATGAAGGAGATTCTCGGATCAAAGAACCTAAACTATGGATGAAAGCATCCAAGCTTAAGCATCAAAGGATTGCTCACTTCAAAGGTAGGAAACTAGGTGAAGTTCCTAGGGTTTGAAGGCACTCTCTCTCTCGGTGACTCTTGAAGAAATTTGGCTGAATAATGTTCAGAAATTTCATATATCAAAAGTGGATACAAAATGCTAGGAGGGAAGCTTTTATAATTTCGGAACTAGGGTACACTTGGCGCCAATGTGGAGGCTTCACATGTGGCGCCAAGATTTGAATTCAAATTTGAATTTGAATTCAAATCTTAACCCACATGTGCATCACCGGATTCCAAGGGTGCTAAGTGTATTTGGGTTTGATTTAATTTGCATTTAGGGTTGAATTTGAGTCACACATGTTCAGCCAAGGTGGCGCCATCCATATGACTCAAAATGCAACTTAAATGCAAGCTAAATTAAACCTAATTTTGCCTAATCCTCTTAAACAAGTCTTCCTCCCTAATTCCTATACTAATGACCTAAATACAATGGTCAATGAAATACAATGAATAGGAAAAATTACAAGAAAGAGAATGAGCCCAATATTGGGTGTCAAAAGCCCAAAGGCCCATGAAGCCCAATGCTAGGCCCTATAAGCCCAAAGATCACAATTCCTAATCTATGGTTCAAAATACAAGACCAAAACAAAGTAAAATTCTAGTCTATGAATATGCAATAAAAAGTGGTGTCAAACAAGTAAAACCCAAGTGAGGAGCACCCTAGGCCCACCAAGCCCATTGGGCCCACTAAGCTCTAAAGCAGTCAAGTCTTCAAGTAATCTCCTAGCCATTGCTCTAGTTGTTGGACCCTTGGTCCATGCTCTTCCATCAGAGAGTATACAGTTTCCTAGACACTTGAGAGATACAGTGATAAAGACCTCTGCTCACAGGAGGTGAGCAATTGATCTCCAAGTGGTTTGCTGAGAAAGAGACCCAAGACTACTAATTTGAGTGGTATGCGGGTAAGAGAATCATTCGTTCGAAGACTTTGAAGCTGGAGTGGTTCAAGAGTGAGGGTTTCAGTTTTCCTCTTCTCTTGGAGCATCAAGAGCTTGGGAAGTTCTTGGAGTTGGAAGGTCCGTATTACCCGGAGCTTATTAGGCTATTCTTGTGCTTTGCCTCAAGCAATAAAGGGATAATGCAATCTGTGGTGAAAGGCAAGCTCATAAAGCTTGATGGACCAACATTGAAGGAAGCGGCTGGGCTGAGCAGAGACGGAAGTATAAAGCCCCAATCCTTCAATTTTGGTGACTTTGAAGAGCTGACAAATTTTAGAGATTGTCAAAGGAACCCGGAGACCACCAATTATAACAAATTTCTAGCTGGAGGTATGAAGAAAAACTCTAGGTTGATTTCTTTTAGAATAGCTTGGATGCTTAAGCCTAGACTTCATAACCATGCTCAAGTGTCTAGAGATGACATTTTGCTTATGCATGTCATTAAGAAAAAGATAAAGATAGATTGGGTGTCTATTGTGAACGATTGTATCTGGAAGGCTAGGAGAAAGGAGGATGGTCCAATACCATATGCTTTATTTCTATCTAGGATTTTTGAGAAAGCTGGTGTGGATCTAAAAGGGGAGAAAAAGATAATTCTTCATGCCTCAAATAAAATTAAATAAATATTCTTTACATCATATGGGGATGCTAAAACAAAAAGATAAATGAGTATTCAAAGGTGATGTTCCTCCAACACCGGAACCAGCAACGGATGAAGATGGTGTTCCATCTCATGATGAGGAACAGCCACCGCAAGTGGAAATTG